GCTGCGTCGACCCACGGTCGACTCCAAATCGAAGTTGATCAAATTCATCTTCACCATGGAGAACGTCGTCACCGCTTTCGATTTGAGCAATCTGCACGAGACTTGCAAGAAGGCTCTGCGCAACAAAAGTCAACATTCGAAGAGCGATTGAGTGATCTCTTCGTATCTAGTTGTAATTTGAGACACTTGTTTATAAGCTATCTAATTTATTTACGCCTGCTCGCCGTGTTGTTGTTGTTGGTCTCTTTGTGTTTTCTTGTAAAACGAGCGGTCCTGTTTTAATTTTGTTATTTATCATTTAGTGTGTATTGTTATAGATACAAGATTGTTTTATTTTTAACTTTTAAGTATGAACGAGCTGAATTTACTTAGCTGCGATGTACCAAAATCCAATACAATTAAAGTTTTATTTCACACCATACAAACTCCTGTTTTTTTTTCAACATTCATCCACATCTAAATAATTTATAAGGATCCATACATATGGTTAAAATTTCCAATTAAATTTAGTAAACAAGAAACATTAGCAATCTATTAATAATAACTATTTTTTTTACGTCTTAATAATATGCAGTTTCTCAATAACAAAGTCAAATTAGTTTTTCAGTAAAATCATCGTAAATTTTGTGTTTTATTTCACAATTATACAATTATTTAGTATAAAATTTGCAACTAACAAATTCCAAATTTCCGAAATTTACACATCTAAATAATTTATAAGAACCCATAGATTTGGTTAAAATTTCCAATTAAATTTAGTAAACAAGAAACATTAGCAATCTATTAATAATAACTAATTTTTTTACGTCTTAATAATATGCAGTTTCTCAATAACAAAGTCAAATTAGTTTTTCAGTAAAATCATCGTACATTTTGTGTTTTATTTCACAATTTTTCAATTATTTAGTATACAATTTGCAACTAACAAATTCCAAATTTCCGAAATTTTAACTAATAACAATTTTTATTGAAATAAACTGCAAAGAAAAAATAATGAAATTATTACGTAAAACCACAAAATAAATGTTTAATCAAACTACTTGGTATTCGGCAGACGGAAAACAATAAAATTATTCCTTCACTATAGTGGGAATCCCCCACAGAAACTCCGGTTTCCTGCTACGGTTTTTCGCAACAAAAACAACAAACATAAAAGTGCACAAATTACCGGGAAATATTTACACAATATGCGTTTCTATTTGTTTTGAATTGCACCTAATTCGCACAGGAGTCACCTTGCCGATGAATCACGGCAAATTTCCGTTCGCTTCGTGCACAAGGAAATGCGATTGTGGTTCTCCCCAAGCCCCGGTCCATCAACTTATCGCCACACCGCAATCACTTGCATTTTACTATAAATACTCATAGGCAGACGCTGTTTGATTCAGTTTAAACTTTTGTGTGTGTTTTAAAGAAGATGGCTAAGCGCGCTTTGGTACTGCTCTACCCTCAAAACGAGGAGAATGAGATCGCTATTCCTGTCGCTATTCTTCGTCGCGGCGGGGTAAGATTTCTTTAATTTCCATTAAATTTCTTCCATTTTTTTCACCATTTTTTTAAAAATAATTGTTTTATTCTTCTTAAGGTTGAGGTCACTATCGCTGGTCCAAGCAAGGAACCGGTCGTTGGATCCAGAGGGATGCTGACCGTTCCAGAAGCAGCGCTTTGCGACGCCATGAAGAAAGGTCCTTACGACGTTGTCTTGTTGGCTGGTGGTAGGTACGGCTGGCAATCGCTTTCTGCAGACAAAGACGTGGGTACCGTCCTCAGAGAGCAGGAGAAGGCCGGAAGGCTGATCGCTGCAATTTGCACTTGTAAGTATTAAATATTAATCGCTCTTAAAATTAGCGATTTGGGGAAACTCTTCAGCAAATGTATAATTTCTAGTTATTGAAAAAAAAAAGAAGATTTAGGAAAAATTTACTTCCAAATTTCAATTTTTGGATTATATACAGTAATAATAAATCTTTGTTTCCATAGTAATTAAGTTGTTATGAAAAAATTGATTATGTGCAATAGAAAAATAATTTCGTTTCCATAGTAATTAGTTTAAAATTCTTGAGAAACTCTTCAGGACTTAAGTTTACTTAAAATAATATACTTATTTAAGAAAAAAAAAACATATACTTCAGAGTTGTTCAAAAACTAATGATATTTAAAGAATATTGAAAATTAGAATTTTGCATCTTCTGTAATGTTAAAATTAAAACTAATGAGATTTTCTTGTAATAATTTTAGCGCCGATCGCAATGAAGGCTCACGGAATCATGTTCGGAAGACGTTTGACCTCTTATCCGACGGCGGAGTCGATGGTTCGCGAAGGAGACAAATACATCTACAAGCACGATGACGTCGTCGTCGATGGTAACTTGATCACCAGCAAGGGAAACTACACGACTTTCCACTTCGGTCTGAGAGTGTTGGAATACATCACCGACAGTGCCACAACCGCTGAAGTCGCAACGGAAATGTTGGTGGCCCACTGAAAACTGCAAAGTCTAACATAAACTCGCCTATTAACCATTAACGCATCATTAAAATATAATAATCCTTGAATGTTCGAAACATAAATTGAATAAAATCAAATTTTTTACTTATTTTGTATTGGGAAAAAAACCTCGTGAGCCTTTCTTTATTTAGATTTAGAATGAAATATATAGACGATATTTGTATTTGAAAAGTTGGATGGGATTTAGAAAAAGAAATTAAATTTTTGAATTTGAATTAAGTGATGCCAACATTTAAAGTCGCCATGAGTTTGTTGTCATCATTTGTGTTGAGATCTCGGTCGTCTTTGGTGAGATTTTCGCAAATATCCAGAGATATGAGTAAGTCAGCTTTGGTTTATTTGGCGCCTGGGGCTGAGGAAATGGAGCTGGTCATCGCCGTCGACGTGCTGAGACGCGGAGGAGTAAGTCGTGAAAAATGTTTATAATCGGAGCTAATTTCTCGTATAATTTGAAGGTCAATGTGACAGTGGCAGGATTGCCGGATAAGAACTGCGTGAAATGCAGCCGCGGCGTCCTTATCAACCCGGACACCGGCATCGAGCAAGCCATGTCTTTGGCGCCTTTCGACGCTTTGGTCCTTCCCGGAGGATTGGCTGGTTCGCAGGCTTTGGCGGAATCCCAGGAGGTTGGGAAGATGCTGAAGGAACAGGAGCAGGCGGGTCGCATCATCGGAGCGATCTGCGCCGCACCGACCGCACTCAAAGCGCACGGCATCGGCGTCGGCAAGAACCTGACCTCCTATCCTTCAGTAGAAAACAGCCTGATCGAAGGTGCTGCCTACAACTACAAGCAGGACAACGTTGTAGTTGATGGCACTTTGATCACGAGCAGAGGTCCAGGGACTGCCTACAATTTCGCTTTGACGCTGGTCGAGCAGCTGGTTGGAAAGGAGAAGGCTCAAGAAGTTGCTAAAGCAATGCTCATCGAGTATTAAAGTAATAGTTGTAGAAATAAATTCAAAATTTGAATCGCATTAGTTCAAATACACATTTGAACTCACATTAAATACTTTTATTAATACACACAACCGAATTCAAATTATTAACTTATTTGTAATAGAATCAATGAAAAGTTAAATTTAATTCAATTCAATCAATAATTTGAATTATATTAGTAAACAAGTAAACATTTATATTATGTTCAATTGAACTACTGTCAACGTGATAGATGAAACTTCACTTTGTTCTTTGGAACTAATTCATTTTTCCTTTCGGAATTATTTGTTGTTTCCTCAGAAAAACCTTCTACTTTATTTATTTATGTAATACAATTGAATTTATGGATAATTATACTGAAAATATCGTTATTTTCCTTGATCGTTTCTTCAATTGACAACTCGCAAAAACAAAACACCCACTAATTGACTGTCAAGTGAAGGTTGCATTTAATTCAACAATTCAGGCATAAAACAAATGAAAATGGTAAATATTCTTAAAGGGCTTCCGTTGCTCCAATTATAAACTTCTTCGTTTTGCAGTTGGTTCTCGTTTTGGGTGATTTGCACATTCCGCACAGATGCAGCAGTTTACCAGCCAAGTTCAAGAAGCTGCTGGTGCCTGGCAGGATCCAGCACATACTGTGCACAGGAAACCTATGTACCAAAGACTCCTATGATTATTTGAAAACTCTGGCTAGTGATGTGCACGTGGTTCGGGGTGATTTTGATGATGTACAGATTGAAGTGATAGAAGTGTTACATTCATTGAAATAAATTGATTTGTTTTAGAATTTGAATTATCCAGAGCAGAAGGTTGTGACTGTCGGACAATTCAGAATAGGGCTGTCACATGGGCATCAGGTTGTGCCATGGGGTGATCCTGAGTCATTAGCTTTGATCCAGAGGCAACTCGATGTGGATATTTTAATTTCTGGTCACACTCATCGGTTCGAAGCTTATGAGCTGGACAACAAGTTCTATATTAATCCGGGGAGTGCAACTGGAGCTTACAACGCTCTCGACAAGTTTGTTTTCGTTAACGTTTCACTAATTAAATTTCTTAATAATTCTGCTCGTTTCAGCACTGTAACTCCATCCTTTGTGTTGATGGACATTCAAAACACAACTGTTGTGACGTACGTTTACCAATTGGTTGGGGATGATGTCAAAGTGGAGAGGATAGAATACAAGAAAAACTAAAATTTGCAATGTTGTTGTTTTATATTGAAGAAAGGAAAGAAGAGAGGAAGAAACTGTCTGTTTTTTTTAAATGTTTACATTTGTTACAGAAAACATTATATGTTATAAAAAGAAAACGTAAAGTCTTAGGTATATAATAAGGTCAATCCAAACATTTTTATTTCACATTTAAACATCTGATTCAAGAGGAAATAATGATTATGTATATAATGGTGAATTATTTATAGGTGATGATGTGTTCTATATTGTATAATTCATTACAAAAGCAAATAAAATTGAAGCATAAACGAATTTAATTCCCAATTTCCTAAAATTAACTCAAATTAGTCAAATTATTTCATTGTAAAATCATGTTTCCTAAATGTTCGAAGTTTTCAGTTGCTTTTGTTTAGTTTTAATTGAAATTTACTGAAAAATGTCGAAACGTGATTGAAAACATTAAAATCCAATTTGAAACAATTCTAATTAAGCAAGTTCTTGTAGATTTTTTGATTTTTTACATTATTTTGTTGCAAAAGTTGATTTTTATAATATTTACAAAAAAAAGGTATAAAATTGCAGAAGATATTTGGAATGTATTCGTTTAGAAATAATGGATTTTTGTATCATTTTTCTTTGAAATTGTTGTGACAATATTATTATATCTTCGAGGAGATTGCGAAAGGTGATGCTGTATGTACGTGAGCTTTAACATTTATCAAAATAAGAGACGTGTTTTGAGGATCATCGTCGTATTGATAAACCGTCCTATTTGAGGTCAATTTAAGGTCGTTTCTCTGGTCGGAGGACTTAAGCCGTGCGTGTATCAGACGAAGAGGAGTGGAAGATTGGAGAAGGCAGACACGATAACTGGAAGTGCATCGGCCGCAAAGGCTCAACAAGTCGTCGGATCGTTGCGCAGCCAGCACTGAATACACCAGAACCAGTACTTCGTGATCAGTGTTAAAGCAAAGATGTTCTCTTCATTTCTACGCAGAGGGGTGTCCGCGGCCTTCGGAGGGATTAGGACCAAAGAGTCGGCAGCTGTTGAGTGTCTCCTGAAGACCAACAAACAATTTTCGGTAAAGAATAATCTAAAGTAAAGACAATTTCTCAATCTCGCGTCTATAAGCGAGGTGAACAAACTTTGCGTTTACCTTGGACGAGTAATTACTGTGTGCATTTTATTCGTGCGGGCGTATAAATAGAACGCGCATAACTGCACCAAACAAAAGCCATGCTTGCATCTACTTAAATTAAGTCACATATCATACTTAAACTAACGACAATCACAAGAAATGATCATAAAATTAAATCATTTTAACAGCCTTTCGTGTACACTTTATAAAGATCATAATATTAGGAAATAAAAACGTGGTTTTATCCAATATTTGGATTCGATAAGAATGAAACATGAACCACTTTATAAAATGGATTGTAGTTTACAATTTTGAATGATAACCGTTACCACAAATACTTTCAATTAATGAATCTAATTTTTTTTTCCACTTAATCCTTTAATTAATCCAAATAACTTAAGTAAATTTAGAAAAATTGATTGCGTTGGTTGACTGAAAGTGAAATTGCGACAGGTTTTTGAGCGTTGTTTTCGTTTAAATGAAAGTAAAAGGTTTTAAAAAGAAATTGATTTGAATCATGAAATTGTAAATATTATAGATTATTGTTGTCTAATTACATAAACTGTTTTTATTAAATAACTCAAAGTTTAATCCTGTTTACGAAGATATTAATACTACTTTCACTTAGTTTGGACTCAATTTGTGGGGATCGTTTCTTAATATGAAGTTTCCTAATATTGTTTCTTGATTAAATTTACTATTTTCTCGTGCATTCTTCGCGCAAATAGGCTTTGTTTATGATGTTACGTGCCGATCGGTGTGACCTAAATTTCTCGCTGTTTATCTACACATTTATTAGCGAAATTACGCTTTCCTTCCGACCATTTCATCCATTCTAAAGAGACGAGAATACATCTAGTGTTTATCGCAAGATTAAAGCAGAAGAATTTTCTATATTTTTGATTATTTACAATTTCAGATTTTACATTTACCAACAACTTTTTTTAGCAAAACTAAAACACTCTTTTTTTTATATTCATAATTTCAATTTTTTGACAATAAATTATATAAAAACTATGCATGTCTCAATTATACAATTAAAATTGTTATATTCTCTATAATTTTAGCTTTAATTTGCATATTTATATATCATGAGCTATTCGTAGTTTTCGAGAAATATTCTAAACTAAAACACTCTTTTTTTCATATTCTAATTTCAATTTTTGACAATAAATTATATAAAAACTATGCATGTCTCAATTATACAATTAAATTGTTATATTCTCTATAATTTTAGCTTTAATTTGCATATTTATATATCATAGAGCTATTCGTAGTTTTCGAGAAATATTCTAAACTAAAACACTCTTTTTTTCATATTCTTAATCAATTCAAATTTTTGACAATAAATTATATAAAAACTATGCATGTCTCAATTATACAATTAAAATTGTTTAATTCTCTATAGTTTTAGCTTTAATTTGCATATTTACAAATCATTGAGCTATTCGTAGTTTTCGAGAAATATTCTAAACTAAAACACTCTTTTTTTCACATTCATAATTTCAATTTTTGACTTTAAATTATATAAAAACTATGCATGTCTCAACTGTACAATTAAAATTGTTTAATTCTCTATAGTTTTAGCTTTAATTTGCATATTTACAAATCATTGAGCTATTCGTAGTTTTCGATAAATATTCTAAACTAAAACACTCTTTTTTTCACATTCATAATTTCAATTTTTGACTTTAAATTATATAAAAAATTGTTCAATTCTCTATAAATTTCTCGCTGTTTATCTACACATTTATTAGCGAAATTACGCTTTCCTTCCGACGATTTCATCCATTCTAAAGAGACAAGAATACATCTAGTGTTTATCGCACGATTAGAGCAGAAGAATTTTCTATATATTTTTGATTATTTACAATTTCAGATTTTACATTTACCAACAACTTTTTTTTAGCTACTTTAGTTTGGATTTTGAGGTTTTCTCTTCTGAAATCTATTGAAATTGTTTCTCAATGTGAATTGTTACATTCGTGTTTACCGCATGGTGAGAATCCATCTAATTTCGTCGGCCCAAAGTACAAAAAAATAATTTCTACCCCCTTGAAGATATTACATTTTCTATATTTTAGATTCTTTTGAGGAATTTGAAGAAGTTTTTGTTACTTGTTTTGTCTGATTTGCTATTATTTATTTATGTTTTTCGTGAGTTAACGCACGTTTCGATAATATGTCTCCTCTTGCGATAGTCGCGTTCGGACAACAAACAATCTACGATAAGCGTAATCACATTCGTGCTGTCCTTCATATTCTCTCAATTTTATTTTTTCTCTAATGATTGTTCTTTCTCGATTTTGTAGACCGTCTGCAAATGCACCGCTTCTGCAGCCCACGTCGATCTTCAAGCAGTCCGAGGTTACGCGAAACACGCGAAAACCGAACAGAAGTATGAGGATTTCTCTTCGTCCGATAGCGACTTGGAGGTTCTGGGTCACAGGGTAAGCAAAATGTTGAACTGTTATCCAATCTTTGTTTTGTTTATTTATTTTTTTTACAAAGTCTTTCTTAATAGTAGATATGTAAAATTCTACTTAATTTTTGACAAGGAAATATGTATGTCACAATTATTATATTCAATTGTTATATTCTCTATAGTTTTAGCTTTAATTTGCATATTTATATATCATAGAGCTATTCGTGGTTTTCGAGAAATATTCTAAACTAAAACACTCTTTTTTTATATTCATAATTTCAATATTTGACAATAAATTATATAAAAACTATGCATGTCTTAATTATACAATTATAATTGTTATATTCTCTATAATTTTAGCTTTAATTTGCATATTTATATATCATAGAGCTACTCGTAGTTTTCGAGAAATATTCTAAACTAAAACACTATTTTTTCATATTCTCAATCTCATTTTTTGACAATAAATTATATAAAAGCTATGCATGTCTCAATTATACAATTAAAATTGTTTAATTCTCTATAGTTTTAGCTTTATTTTGCATATTTATAAATCATTGAGCTATTTGTAGTTTTCGAGAAATATTCTAAACTGAAACACTGTTTTTTCACATTCATAATTTCAATTTTTGACAATAAATTATATAAAAACTATGCATGTCTCAATTATACAATTACAATTGTTATATAGTCTATAATTTTAGCTTTAATTTGCATATTTATATATCATAGAGCTATTCGTAGAAGTCGATAAATATTCTAAACTAAAAAACTCTTTTTTTTTTCAAATTCTTAATTTCAATTTTTAACAATAAATTATATAAAAACTATACATGTCTCAATTGTACAATAAAAATCATTATATTCTCTATAGTTTTAGCTTTAATTTGCATATTTATATATCATAGAGCTATTCGTAGTTTTCGAGAAATATTCTAAACTTAAACACTCTTTTTTTCATATTCTTAATCTCAATTTTTGACAATAAATTATATAAAAACTATGCATGTCTCAATTGTACAATAAAAATCATTATATTCTCTATAATTTTAGCTTTAATTTGCATATTTATATATCATAGAGCTAGTGGTAGTTGTCGAGAAATATTCTAAACTAAAACACTCTTTTTCATATTCATATTCTTTTTCATAAAAACTATGCATGTCTCAATTATACAATTAAAATTGTTTAATTCTCTATAGTTTTAGCTTTAATTTACATATTTATAAATCATTGAGCTATTCGTAGTTTTCGAGAAATATTATAAACTAAAACACTCTTTTTCATATTCATAATTTCAATTTTTGACGATAAATTATATAAAAACTATGCATGTCCCAATTGTACAATTAAAATTGATTAATTTTATATAGTTTTAGCTTTAATTTGTATATTGACAAATCATTGAGCTATTCGCAGTTTTCGAGAAATGTTCAAAACTAAAACACTCTTTTTTTCATATTCTTAATCTCAATTTTTGACAATAAATTATATAAAAACTATGCATGTCTCAATTATACAATTAAAATTGTTTAATTCTCTTTCAAATACTTCAAGTATAATCATTTAATTTATAATTACATAAAAATTTCAGGGAGAATCGCAGTTTTGGCGCAGAAAGATGCGCACTTTCCACGGAATTCTGGACGTGAACAAGGACGGAGTCATCTCCTACGATGACTTCCAACTGCTTGCAGACAGATTCGTAAACTTGGGACATCTCAGCGAGAAGCACACCAAGGAATTCAGAAAAGTCATCAAAGTAAAAACCATATGAAAATCCTTTATATATTGTTAAGAAATTGTTATATTTTTGTTTAGAATATATGGGAAGCACAATGGGGCGAAATAACACCGTACAATCTGGTCACAGTCGAACAATACCTCGACGATATGCATCACGTCTTGAACGATAAAAGCAGGATCAAGAAGGCCCACGCCTTTTTACCCTACCTTTTCAAAGTAAGTAAAAAAAAACAAATCTTTTGCTTTCATATTGTTATTTATTTGTTTACTAATTTTCGTAGGCTGTGGATAAGGACAGCTCCGGTGAGATTTCCGTGGAAGAATTCAAGTTGTTCTTCAATAGTTTAGGTCTGAAGGAGACGGATGCATCCGTAGCTTTCTTATCCATCGACGGTAACTGCGACGGACGCATCAGCATCAAAGAGTTCGTGAATCACGGACGCGATTTCTTCTTGACCGAAGACGAGGAGAGGATCAGCAAGTACTTTTGGGGACCGCTCGTCGATCACTGAAGCTCACGCTCTTAAAGCATCGAAAGTTGAATTCGGGATCAAAGGAGAAAACATGTATATTCTATTTTTAAATATTACATTAAGTTTTTTTTTTTAAATGTACACTTTTATATTTAGTTTTTAATTCTTTGTGATTAGAGGAGAAAAAAAAAACGCTATTTTTTTTTCACTCATTACCATAACGCCTTAAAGGAGTGCTAATTTTTGGATTGTAGCAATTGTTGTAATAAAGAAAAAAAAAACTTATTCTTGGACATTTTTATTTAAAAAAATCGATTCATTCTTCAAACATTGTTAACAGATTTCACATCACATTCATGGGAAGAAAACTATATAACTTAAAATACGAGGAATACAAAAAAAAAGTAATAACAAATTAAGATTACATAAAAATGATAATACATATATAATTAAACGATGCTCAATTCGCGTTTTCTCTCGTTGATCTCCTTGACCATCTCCGCAATTTTATTTGTCCTGAAAATAACAAATTGTAATTAGGTAAGTCTTGAAATTAAATTTTCTTTGGAAGTAACTTACATATCCTGGAGGTTGCTTTTGATCATGTTCGTCTGCGACGATCCAATTCCGTACTCCTTCTTGTTGTCCATCTCCCAATTGTGCATCTGCAAAAGGTGTTAAATAGTAATCATTGTTATTTATAAATATAATTGGATAAAACTTACCCTGTCCTCCTGGTATTTGCATTTGTTCCTCAACTTCTCGATGGCTCCTCTGTATTTCTCGATGCGCTTCTCGTACTCCTTCAAATCCCCCATGTATTTCTTCTCGGCGTTGGACGGCTCCACCTGCCTCTTCGAGATCATGAGAAGCATCTTCTGGCATCTAGATTATTGTCAATTTTTATATTACTCAATCAATTCGAAGATCTCTCAATAGCTTACCTTTGAATCATCTCTTCCTGTTTCTCCTTCAGATCCTCGTATTTCTCCGCTAAATGCTCGGCCTTTCCCTGCAGCGACTGCTTCTCGCCCATCATCCTATCGATTTCGGACGTCTGGAAGTCCTTCAGCATACGCAAAGCCTTCACGCGCTTTTCGATCTCTTCGCGTGCCTTGTCGTGGTGCTTGAAATGTTCATCCCTGAAGACCTGAGACGCCCTCTGCAACAACTGCAACAAAAAATCACAAAGATCAAATAATAATTCGAGTTATTTAGATGAAATAAATACCTCGTAACATTCTTGCTGAGTCTGCTTACTTCCAGTGGACACTTTCAGAATGGGCTGCGTGCTGGACTGCTTCAGAATCCTCTGGATTTGCGCATCAAAAGGATTGAGCAACATCTAAAAAAAAAGATAAACGAAATATAATGATCCGAAGAGTTAAAGCGTTCGATGTAGATTACATTTTTCAATGGTGAATTCATGTTCTCCATGTCTTCCTCGTCGGAATCCTGCTGCGGCAGGATCATGGTGAGGATCGCAACGGAAACCAACTGTCCGTTAGCGAGAAGAGCCAAGAAACTGTGCGGATCGTGGTAAATGGAAAACCCGAGCACCGGATTTTTCTTCTCCGAAGTTGAAGTCTTCGTGCAAAGCAGATACTCAGCGCTGCTGGTTTCTTCCACCAAATCATGAAGAACATCATCATCTGCAAATTTACCATACAATTAATTCCTTCTTGTATTTAAAGATTAATCATATTGTTACCGTTATCCACATTGAGGAACTTGTGCAAGATGTCTATGCAGGGTATGGAAATCGAATGCACGCCAGTTTCGTGCGTTGCAAAGTAGTTGCCAAGTTTCGAGTAATCGCGGTGAAGGTAAATTGGACAGTTGTACTCGACGTCCAGGTGAGTCGTGCCTAAACCCAGCTCCAATTCGACAGTTTCTAAGAGGCACAGAGTCTTTTCCGGATTGTGCATGTAGGAAGGAACGTCTTCACTCTAAATACGACAAAATTAATTAACTTTTAATTGATTTCTTTTAGGAGATATTACCAAGACTTTTTTCTCGCCGTAATCGTATTGGCATGGGAGGACGAGCACGTGGTAGATGCGACCCTTGCAGCTGCCGATGCAAAGAACCGGCGGAGTGCTCGGAAGGCAGAGGAGAGAGCACAGATCCGAAGTGTACTTTCCATCTGGGTGAGGGCTGATTATGTGTGGTCCTTTCAAACCGGGATGACATCTATAGAAAGAAAGTTTAGTATTTAGTGGAAGAAAGCAACATTTTTTTATATGTCTATTCGTCCTGGACACACCGGGGATTTGCAGGAACGGCGCTTTATCAAAGAGCAAGTGGAGGACCGCAAGACAACTTT